AGGATGGGTTTTTAAAGTTAGGGTAGAAGAGGTGGAGAAAAACATAACAGAAAGGCAAAATGAAGATAAAAATAAAGGCCACGAAAAGGGGCGACTGTGGGTTGCCTATTGATCAGACAGTTGGCGGTTAAATCCCTGGCTCCTCCAGGTTGAATGTCGAAGTGTCCTTGGGCAAGATACTGAACCCTGAATTGCCCCTGGTTCCGCCAGTGTGTGAATGTTAGTTTTTGTTTGAGCACTTAGGCTCAGTGAATGAATGTGTGTGAATGGTGAATGCAGATGTAGTCTAAAAGCGCTTTGAGTGGTCGAAAAGACTAGAAAGGCGCTATACAAATACGGAGCATTTGCAAAATATTTATAGCAATAGCATATCACATTTGTTATAGTTAATAGCTATACAAAATTGAAGAACAGATGATACCATGCTAATGTTAATATTACAGAGACCATTTTCATGGCACTAATTACTGGATTTGCCACACTTTAGAAAACAAAGGGAGCATACATTACCCTATCCTACTCTTTGGGCCAAAGAAGGCATGTGAGGTGACTGTGACATCTGGCTGCACAGTACACAGATCCAGTAGAGGCATCAAGACTGCAGAAAACATATTTACAGCAACATAAGTACGTGAAAATACATACATAAAACTTCTTTGGTGTGAATGGTAAGTCTTCGCTACTATGTTGTGGAAACCCTTTTAGTCATGCCATAAACAATGTGAGGAAGTGACTGAGGGGCAATCATTTCTAAATATCCATATACTGGTAGTGGTTCATTTCTGAGAGTCTAACCTCCAGGGAACATGATGAGAGCATTCTGCAGGGTCTGGTCAGCTTTTTGTCGTCGTTTGTCACTTTCTTCAGGATCAATATCTTCCTGCTGACTGAGATGGAAATGGCAAAGGGCAGTGGAGAATGCAAAGTTTGGCAGCTGGGACAGATTTCTGTGCTCCTGAAAAGCAACAACAAACCATTTCTGTATCAGACTGAAAAGTTTACAAGTGCACACAGACACACACACACACACACACACAGACAAGACAGCACACTTTACCTCCCAGTCCTGATACAACTGAAGGAGAGACTGGTACTCTCTGGAACGCAGCATCAGGAAATCAATGAGAAGGAGCATGCAAAGTGGGTCTGAGTCTGGGTCCAAACTAATAAAAAAAAAAAGTGACAGACAAGACAAATGATTACTACAGGAACTTTACCAAAAAGAGACTCTGAATCACAATTTGTAGGATATAACATAAAATAAATAATTAAAATAACTCTCAACCTGTGGGAAACATTTATCTGTTCATAAAAGGCACTTCTGGTTATAGTTGACATTTAGATTAAAATTCAAAAGAACAAAAGAAATACGACATCAGGAAAAAGACAGGATGAAAAACACCACTGCTCTTTTGTTTGCTTTCAGAGTACATTTTGAAGCTTGGGCAGCTGACCAATTTAAGTAACCATGTAGCAGCTTTGACCACATTGTCAGTCTGCTGTGCACAAATTGCTACTGACAATGACAGTGAAATAAGTCTTTAAAAAACAAGGGAATAAAAATTTAATAGCTTCTTTTCTCTAAAACATTGGAGTGATAGTGTTATATCACATTATATATGTGAGACACTTATTCAAACAGAGCTTTTTAAGATTCTGTTATCAATCACGTTGCCATTTTAAGCCAACAGTGATTTAATCAGTGGTGGTTGGAGGGGGACAGCCGTCAGCTTTCATTCCCACACTGCTGGTTTACAAAAGGACCAGAACATAGCTGTCACGAAGTCAGGAAGCCAGAGTTTGATGAAAATCATAGATACCCATTTTACGGGTAGGTTGTATAGCTCAAGCTATGGCAGACCGGTAGCAACAGTGTAGGGAACTTGTGTAAATGGTCTCCGTTACCAGCACGATACATGAGGTTTTATCTTAAGTAATGAAATTTAAACACTTACATAGACTGTTTTTGGATTTTGTAAGCAATGTAAATGTAAATTATTTTATCATGTATTGGACAAACACATTATTGCACATAAATTGTTATATAGTTTAATATGGAGAAAAGCATTAAAATGTCTTTAAAAAAACACTTCGTCATCAATAAAATAACACACATTAGGAATGTGGAAGACTTTGCCTGAAACACATGTTTGGCTGTTTTCCACCATATAAAGAATTTTGAGGGTTACATCTCTGATCTGTATCAGCAGTCACACAACAGAAAAAATTTTACTTTTCATTTCCCCCCCTGTGCCTGAACAGGATCACCACTGGCAGAATACAAACCTCATAGTCGAGTTAACAGTCTTTGAAGAATATCTTCAGAGTCTGATGACTGCTGTCGGTGGTTACTTTATTCAGGGAAATAAGAGTTCTTTTTGTTTAGCTAGAACGCCACGTGATCATATGTAATACTCACTTCAAAGTGATTTCAGATAAAGAAATTGGAGACACAAAACAAAGACAAGAGTGTCTACACTGGCACCTTCCTTTCTCTAAAGCTAGAGTGCTGGTCAGAGACAATGGGAAAAGTATAGACAAGTTAGTCATAAATATACCAGGGATGTAATGGCTGTAACAGAGGTTGCAAGTTATGTTACAGGTCAAGCTCTGTGGCGGAGCTAGACTTTGAGCACAGTGGAGGCGGAGCACGGGGCCCACCTGCGTCTGTCTGCGTTGCGGCTGCCTTGCTGATTGCAGCCACTCTAGTAAATGCTTGTGCTCACACCAGAAGTGTCCCTCCGCTCCTCTCTGGAGAGAATACGAAGCCATTTTCAAAATGAAATACCCTGTGCAGACCCCCAATCGCATATCAACAGTTAAAACAGACAAAAAAGAAACAATTTAACTATGTAGCCTATTTAATCATAGTAGAAGGTCAAAAAGCTAGCACTCACTAAATCAACAAAATCTAAACATGTCAGCAAAATCAGGCAGGCAAAATGCTCCCTGTGGGATCTGCAGATCAGAACGAAAGCGGGTCACATAGAGCTGTGAAGAAGGTAGTAGAAGCACAAAAAGGACACATTAAAAACAAGTCATTAACGTGGGGCAGGCTGCACGCTCCGCTGCTGAAAACACTTAGGCTTCCAGTGGAAGTTGAGGACGGAACTAAACCGCGGCATAAATGCTGCCTGTGTGAGTCTGGGGTGATATATAGCAGCCGAAGTCCGTCCCACAGAATCCCCATGATAATAAGCATCCTATTTGTTTGAAATACAAAATTTACTTTGTGAATTATGTTTTTTTTAACGTGTCTGCTTAGAATATAGTGTTTTTTGTTGGTAACTGTCATTCTTGTGATGGTTTACTATTGAAACCAGGGTTGAAATGCCTGTTTCATTTGATAAGAACGGCTGAACTGATATTTTTTTACAGTGCATGATACCTGTATGCAATTCTCTTGTGCGGTTGTGTCTAAAAGTAACTGACAACACATTCGCGGCCCATGGAGCGGGGCCCCTGCCTAGCCAGGGCCCTGAATCGGCCGCCCCCATGCAACTACGCAATCTCCACTTGTGGTCAAGCTCTAAATGGAGAAGCCTGTGGGTTTTTATCTATAAAGCTCTTTTTAAATTGTTGGTTTCCCTTTAACTTTGTATAGCTTTCCCAGTGCTTGAGATTTTCCCTTTGTACCTGAGGATCAGTTTGCAGTACTCCAAAGCTGTCCGTGGGCATCCTCTCTTCTCAAGGAACATCATGTGCTTAAAAAGAGCCAGGTAAAATGCCCTGCGAACAGAAATTATCACAGTTACACACAATGCCACTGATGCCCCACAAGAAAGCAAGGTGTCAAACAAAAATTTAAAAAAAGAGAAAAAAGAAACAACCAACCTGTTCTCTGGTCTCAGATAATCAAGTCTGCTTGTTCCTGAGGTCAGACTGAATAAAGGGTGAAAAGTGCATTCAAAGCTGTACATGGCCCTCTCTGAAAAAAACCCAACACAATTGATTTAAAATCACAACAAAAAAAATACAATATTTTCATTGAAGCATCAGCAAATGAGTATGATATAATGTGCACAAAGCAGTACTAAACAGCTATTAAACGCTGCAGGTGCTGGGCTGTGTCAGTTAACTTCTTCTCACAGACAATCACCTCAACAGCAGGGCACTGCATCCCAAAGACCTGAACCGAAAACCATGTCTTACTTCTCTGTCTTATGTTCAACTGATGGCATGTTATACATTTGCCTGAGTAGGACAAATGCCCTTTGTTAAATTATCCCTCTGGTCTTCGACATAAGCTATCCAGTCGAGGAGAGGGCCTGTGATAATAAAACAAATATTGTGCTTTGCATGGAGCATGCCACTTTTTAACAATGGTCGTTTTGTTCATTTAAAATTTCCAAAAGCACGCTGAGCACAAAAATAACCATAACGATTTTGTTTGATAATCTGACAAAAAAATAGGAACTGTTAATGATTTCTCTACAGCCCTTTTTGCATCTTACACCAATATCTTGAGTCAGTCTAAAAAGCAAATATTCAGCTCTAGCAATACACTGAATCCAACAGCACCAAAGTCAGCTTTGAATTTAGCTAACTTGTGTCTATTCCAAACTCTGGCATCTATAAAAGCATAAAAATACAACAGAAGGAGCTTGTGTATTAAGCGGGAAAAATTATGCATTCAGCTCAGGCCTGTAACTAATTAGGTTTGACATTTGATAACAGATTAAAAATATAGTAAGTCATACACTTAATATCCAATAATACAACAATAGTGTCAGTTTGCCTTTCAGCTGCATTAATCAGTTGCCCTTACGCTGATTCTGGTCAAATGTAGTGGATCCCCCCCTGTATGATTCGATGTGAAATGAATGATTTGGCATCTAGGTTACTGCTGGGCCCCGAACAAATTTTGATTTAGAATTTCTGTAATTTCTGGAAGGAGCCCATAATCCTCACCGATGAGGTCCCTGGCCATCTCCTGATCCTCCTGTATGCGGCACACATCAGAAAGCTGCAGCAAGGAATCAATGTGGTAAGGGTTCAGCTGTAGCAAGGCCTGTGGAGAAAAAGGGATGAGTCAAATTGACAGAGATGGACTTCAGAATAGAGAAAATGTTTAACAGAAGAAGTTGGATTACGATACAAGAATTGGTTCAGTGTGTAATAAAAATGCGTCCACGCTGATTGTGTGGTTACACTATCTCTGCAACTGCAGATATGTCAATATGTTTACAAGCATAGCCTGGGTTATAACTGTACAATAATACTCATGCATGCATGAGTGTGCATGCAGAAACACAAGAGTCACATGGATAATTTAATGAAGTTGGTATCAAATTCACCAAGCATAGTCACAAGTTTCTGTTTCAAGCATTTGGTCTAAATATTTCAAATTCTTTGAAATATCACATATTTTCTGTCAGGTTGGTATGTCAAAACATAATTTCAGTACAGTATATTCAGAATCCTTGGGACTAAACTCTGACTTCAGTCTCTCCTAAAGTTTTAGGTACACCGTCTTATATGGCTCTGAACAAGTATATGTTAACTGCAGCTGTCGACTGTTTATGCTGATGGTGATGATGATTCAACAGGATGATTTTCACGCCAATTCAAGAGTTGAAAAAGCTATAATAGATAGCTTCATCTATGCACTGTTACATGGACATTCTTGCCACCCATATCGCTGATTATTTTAACTGAGGAAGCCGGATTTGAAATATTGCTACATCATCATCATCAAACTCAGTGACACCAAAGTGCATAGCAGAGATCAACTTTTTTTTTTTTTTTTTTACCACAATGTTGTTGGGATCCATGGACTCGACAGCATCCAGGAACTTGAACTGTACTTGTTGATAGTCCCGGCTGTGCTCAAAGGTGAAGTACTGAATGCCGTCCTTTGACTGCAGTAAGGTCATTGAGATTCCTGTGGAGACGTCAAGCTCAGTTAAGAACACATGAAGAAAGACACAACAGGGTGGTGATACGAGGTTAAAATATATTTTATTCACACTCATAGAATTGAATAAGCAAGAGCACACAAAAGGTTAGATGAGCCCTTGCAATTGATATCACAGTGTAAAAATGTCTCATATGCGTAAACGGTTACAGTTATACAATTAAACGTTCCAGTTAACTTGCATGTCACGTTTGAATAACATTACACCTTAATTATATAAATATAATAATAACCATGATTTATTGAACATGATTTGTTTGCCGTTTGGATTTTGTGTCTACCAACACTCTTCCACTGTGCTAAAACAATTGTAAATCTAGGTTTCTCATGGTGTGTCATGGCTTTATAAATACATTTTTCTGTTGATCATCTCCATGTTATAACAATGTGGTGTCATCAATAATGTTTTCAACAAACTAATATTTTGGTCCAAAACATTATTACAACAGGAAGAGTCAGCATTTGAACAATTTCCTTTGGGTGCTGATAAGGCTGGGTTTGTCACTTTAATGGATAACTAAGTTGACATTCATGGGAAAAACCTAATCAAACCGTGGCATGAACAATTAAAAAAAAAAAGATAAAACAAAACTTTAATGGTGACTGTCAGCGTGAAAACAACAAGGCAGTTTTAATGATGACAACATAACAAATGAAACGGTCAGCCGATATTACGCTAGCTAAATTTATGAATACATATAGCAATGAAGGTAATTTGAGGCCATCACCATTTATAAATAGTGGCTTGTGCTTCCTTTAAACCACAAGGCGCAGAACCATCTAAAAGTGCTATGCTTGTTTGTTTCAATTATGTATCATAAAACCAGAACATATAAAAGAGTCTAAGTTGCTATAATTAATAATAATATAATTAAATATTTTCTGTATGAGGCGCTAAACTTTAATATGCTTAAATTAAACTAAATATGCCCATAAAATTTCACATTACATAAGAACTACAATTGTGTGTGTGTATGTGTGTTCTTAAGACTACTGGTCAACCACAAAGTCCATTGTGTTTTCATTTTTAAACAACATATTAAGAGTCAGTGTCAAGTTGGGTCAAACTAATTAATATTGTATATACTTTTTAATTGGATAATTCTATTATTTTGTGAAACAGCTGTTAATACCAACAAAGGAAATAGGTCAGTCACAGCCTGAAATGATTTGACTGATTTTAAAAAGGTAGACGCTCTAATTAAAATGACTGCAAGGAAAAACCTACCTGGGCGGCTAAAGCGAGGCCAGCTGTCCTTAGGACTGGTCATCCAGGTGGTACGGTGAAACTGTCTGTTTCTCTGTCGAGGTCTGTCAAAAGAAAAAAAATGCACAGGAATATTCTGTATTTATACAGAGGGCGTGGGCCATTTAAATCCAAACAATCTCATGAACATTTTCCTTTTCTTTTTACCTTTGATCCCCTTGAACAGCTCGAGCCCCAAAATATCTCTTCAGCTCTGTCTCTGGGTTGAGATTCCTAATGAAGTGAAGCATAAATGACATTCAGATCTTGACAGGCTAAACGGCAAAGTGTGCCAGCTGAGGAAATACATTTCCAGGGAAACACAGACATACATCATCTAGCATTTGATTTTGATTATTTTAGACATGTAAGTTCATGTCTGCTCTAGAATCTACAACACAAAAGCAAATTCTAAAATTGATTCTGATGTTTCCCGATGATTTTCAAGAGGCAACATTGGCAGGTTGACTGGAAATCCTGATGGACAAATAGTATACATGTGGAGGGCAAGATTAAGTAAGTAAGTAAGCATGATCAGTGGGATACCCAATCCAAGCCTCACAGTTTGTGACTGTCAGTTTACAGAACCAAAACGAAAGTAAGTAATCTCTAAGATGAACTTTTTAGTGGTTGTTTATTGAGAGCATATTATAAAATTTTTATCAATGACATAATAGCAATACAGAGTTTGCGTTATTTAGCGCCATCCATTGTACCAAAAGGTGATCAAACTGCTTAAACTGCTTGCTCTGTATAAACGTGGTTGCATTACAATCTGACAGCAAATCGAAATGGCCTGTTCTGACTGGTCACTGGTTGTGTGGCCAGATGTGCAACAAGTTTTAATCAGTGTTGAGCCAATTTAGTGCATCTGCTGATATAGCCAGCCTCCAAACAGTTTGCTTTTCTGGTGTGAGCCAAGCGCCACCACATGGTGGAAATTAGAAATCACAAAAATGTATATTTGTGTTCATTTATAACCATGTAACAGCTTACATTTATTTAACACAACAACCACTAGAATTAACTGGCGACCTGTCCAGGGTGTACCCCGCCTTTCGCCCGATGCCAGCTGGGATTGGCTCCAGCCCCCCGCAACCCTGTACGCAGGATAAGCGGTTGACGATGGATGGATGGATGGACCACTAGAATTATACAGTTCACTAAAACCATGTAAATGTACAGATTTATACTTCTGTCATCACTCAAGTCAAGTCTGGGTGGTGAAAGAAATGGGGGGAAAATGGATTCCTGATCTGAATCTATTTATTTTGTCTACATGAGAGATGTTTGTCTCCTCACCTGTGCTCCACGTGTAGCACAGATTTTCTGTCGGAGCCTCCGCAATCCTCAGTTTGCAAACTCAGACCATTGGTCTGCTCCAGGTTCTCCAGCAATAAATCAATGTTATCATCCGGTACAGCCCCCTGAAAGTTATTTTAAAAAACTCAGTGAATTAAGTGAGACAGAATCAAGTCATTCGCTTACCATAAGGAGCTACAGTTTTGTATATTGTAGGAGTAGTTTAATGAAACGAACTAACAGCATATTGCTTTAAAGAGAATAATTTGACTTGGGTGCTTGTCAGGTGGGGAAAATGTGTTTTGTCTTGATGAGAGAAGAAAGAAAGCAGACAGTATCTTCAAACTTGAACTGCAGAAGTACAGAGAGAAGTCTGTTATGTGTGTGAATGCAGCAACTGGTTAGAACAAGTTAAGGGAGATACTGTGTCCAAATAATGTGAAGGTCAAGTTGTTGTGTAAAATGTTTCTCATATTAAAAAGGATGGGAAATTCTAGTTAGACAGATACTACTCAGATACTGTGCACTTTGCTGTGTGAGTCCACTCTCCATGTACATGAATAACCCTTGTATTCACAGATATTAATAAAAATATTAATAAGTAATAAAGTGATCATTCATCCTTAGACTATAATGTGGGTTATCATTAATTATATTATAGTTTTACAACTGTGTTGCCAGAGCAGATATAGAATCCTTCAACAAATGTACCTTTCTATCTTCTGATGTCACTTTCGTTTTCTTCTTTTTCTTCTTCTTTTTAACTCTGTCTCCAGATGAAGACTTTTAAACAAAAGAGAGATGACAGTTTATTAGATTAGCAGAATATGTCAAATCAGAGGATGACAGAAAGACATCCTCTCACACTACTTTATCTTTACCTTTGTAGACGCTCCCTCTTTCTTTTGATCCGGCTTCTCAATATCTCCGTTCTCATTCCTTTCCATGCCACTTGTTTTATTTCCATCTGGTTTCTCTGCCTCCTCATCAGCTGAGATTTCCTCTGCCTCATTGTCTGCATCACCTATCTAGTGAAAACATGTGACAATGGCAAGAAAGTGTGTTGGATAAAGCAGTGCTAAAAGTGAGTAAATTCCCCATATTGCAAAGAACTTTGTCCAACATCAAGACAACAACAGAGTTTCCTGAAATCTTGTCATGGTTACAACTATCCAATGTCAGTCACCACTCATGGACAAGAGTTTGGTGTTTAAGATGACAAGAAAAAGGATATACAAACTCAGTGTTGTGAGCCAACAACGCCAACCCAAGGTCCAGCCATATAGGTGGATGGTTTGTGGTGTGAATAAATCATAAGCATAGAGTTCAGATTTAAGGTCTTTATCAATCTGAACTCTGAATAAATCTTCCTTTTAAGTGGTGGATATAAACAGATCATACATTAAATGATCTTACTGTTACTGTGACAAACAGTACAACCTAATATGCAGGTGAGACTTTGTCATAGGGCTGGGTGAATTTCATACCATTCTATATCGATAATTATCACGATAAATTTGAAATCGTTATTTCTTTCAAGTTTAAAGACTTTTGCTCCTGAGTGAAAGTTGAAGAAGCCAGATGGTTAATTGTGGTTTGAAACTTTTCTTTATGGTCAGAACAAATACGTGATGCCAAACAGTGGATCATGTCACAAATCTGAGGTAGAACATTCAAAAGAATTATGTTAAAAATTTTCAAAAAATATGAAACTAGGACAAATCTTTTTTCAGTCCCTTTTCCTCAACAAAATAAATATCTTAATAGAAAGATTAAGTCCTAATTTGTTTGTGATTCAAATGAATTAAACATTTATTGACGATATATTCAACATATATACATCATACATACATACATATATGTTATACTGTTATTGAGTATAGTGTGTAAGTATATTGCAATAATTATCAGTATTGTTTCATTGCCAGCCCTACTGCCTCATATCTATTAACATTAACCTAAACAACTGAAAATTATTTTTATTGCATTGGGATTTTGACAAGGAATTTCAGCTTCCCTTCAAGTCATGAAGTTGATAAAAAGTAGATTTCAGCTTGATATAATAACGAAATGATGTCTTTATTTATACCCCTTGCTTCATAACACAAAGCAACTCTTACTTCATGACTGGTTGGTCACTGTCTAAGTTTCCTTTTTTATAATGAATAATTTCATCACAGCAAGTCTTTCCACGCGCTGTCAATTCAAGTAGGACTATATTTTCGCGATCATCTTTATCAAAGGCAAGGCCTGTACGAATCCCCTTGATTTTATTAGTTTTGAACATCCACAACCACATTTATCCAAAATTGGATAAAAAATGAATGGATATTTGTCTTTAACGTTACATCAAAACAAAACATGGAGAGGTGAGTATTTTAGTTATGTCTCCATTTTGTGTCACTTTGAGAACAATTTAAAAAAGGCTGGTAAACACGCCTGTCGTACAGCACAATGAAGACTACTTTGTCCAATGTGATAGACACCGTGTTAGCTAACATTAACCTAAAATATAATGTACTTGAGTTAGTTAAATAAACTGAGAAAGGAGCTTACGCCACGCGGCTAACGTTAGTCTGTGTTAGCAAGGTTTTACAACAGAGAGCTTGCTGTAACCGTCAAACGTTTGGCAGGAAGAAACGCATACTAACGTCATGTTAAAAGTAACATGGTTAATTACACAGTCACCTTACCAGTTCATAGAGGTTGCTGAAGTTTTTCTGAGCCTTGTTTTTATTTGCCTTTCGGCTGTTCCTGCCAGACGGGGAAGAAACATTGGCCGTGTCCAGCTGCTCCTCCGCACCCGCAGCCTGCTCCTCTGGGCTGTCACCCGAAGTTAGATCCCCGAGGTCCAAGGCCTCCTGACCCCGCTGTTTCCCTTTGAGCCTTCGCAGAGCCCGGGTAGACATTATCCACTGCTCATGGGACACATACACCGCTAGATTCGAGATAAAATAGTTGTTTAGTTCGCTGACAAACACAGCAAACCAAAGAAATGAGGGTCAATTCCATTGGTTTCTTTTTCTTCTTCTTCTAACGTTGGTCTTCTAACCAGCGTGTTACTGCCCTCTACAGGCTAGATGAAAACCGACTTCTTCTTCTTCCCCTTTTTAATGGTGACAACGTTGAAGGTGCATTACAGCCACCCACTATGCTGAAGTGTGAAGCAGAGTTTCCCTCAGTAAAAAAATCTCTTCAACTATCTCATAAAGCCTTTATGAGTTTTTTTTTACTTCCTTAAGGCTCAATCAATTCTTAAGATTGAATACTCCAACTTCACATTTCTTTAGCTTTTCTCAATGTTTTATACTTATGGCAGTGACAGATAACGTTTCTTCCTCTGTACCACATTCACATAGCCCTGATGGATGTTTCCCCATTAAGTGCATTGTTTTAATTAACACTGTGTGTCTTAACTTTAGCCTTGATAGGGTTGTTTGCTCTCTGGAGTTTTTCCCTGTTGTTTTCATTCCATCCACTTTTTGATAGCCTATACTTTATAGTTGACGTTCTTTGTTTTCTGCATCCAAATTAGTTTTTGCCAAGCAGTCTTGATATTGCTCCATATTACTGCTCTAGCTTCAGCTTTCCTGAAAGCTACTTCCATGATTCTGTCCTGCTTCAGAGTTTGTTTAGCCACTGAGTCTGCCATTCCCCTCGATGTCTCTTTGAGCTGGGATCCACATGAACCTGACTGCTGTTTCTATATTAAATAGTCTGAATATTGTTTCATGTATTTCATAGAGTATATCTGGTCAGTATTGGGATGACATGGACTGCAATGATACCAGCACTGACAACAAGTCTGAACATAATATGACCTTATTTAGCTTATTTTCCTCTATTCACTGTAAATCCATTATAATAGCTAACATCTCGACTGTATGTGCTGTTTAGTGATCTGTTGTTCTTTCCTTAATATATATTTATTTTTTAATGATAATCTGGGATAACAAAAGCAAACCAAGTCTTTCCATTCTTAGGTTCCTTTGATTCTGTATTGGAATAAATGTTTTATGTGTTGTTCTTAGTCTTTCATCAACTATATTATATAGTAGAATTGCCCTTTCCTTTATCTTTATCTTGAACAAACTGTATCAATAAATAACTATTAATTCCTTTTAAGGAGAATATTTTTTTATTTTTACAGGATTCAATCGCATTGATCAACATCTCTGTAAATGTGTAAATGTTAGCCAAATGTCTTGTTTTTAAAAAGTATTTTCTCTAGAGCCAAATACTAAACTATTCAGTTTGACAAACAGTATGCATAGTATGAAACATGCAATGTAAGAAATTGGTAGATCATAAGCAAATAATAACAGAAGGTATAAGTATGACCATGTCCTTGGATGTAGGACCTGTAACTATGTCACTCACCAAACAAGAAAGAAAGAAAGAAAGAAAGAAAGAAATCACCTGGATTTGAAAAACCTCTTAAACAAAGCACTCCATGGTCTCAAGACTACCTGTTTAGTTTATATTTGCGTAGCCCAGTTGGTTGATTTTATAGCATCTATAAACCTACAGTGTCCTAGCCTCTGTCTTGTTAATTTATCATATCCCTCTGATCACAGATTTATTTTATTTCTGTAAAAAAAAAAAAAAAAGATATTTCTATATATCCATTCTTTAAGTTCTAAGAAACGTTATAATTTAATTTCACATTTGACAAATTAGGACAAATATTAGTTAATATTAGTTAGTAATAAGTTATTTCAAAATATATTTGTTTCTATGTTTCTAAATAGGATATTTCTTGATATTGTATCTCATTGAAATTCGTATTGGACTCGATTGTTTTTAAATGTTTTAACAAAGTTAAATTAGCCTAAAACTCAATGCAACACTGTTTCAAATCAATTCAGTGTGTTTGTAGTTCTCTCATGCAGCAGGAGGCGGCAGCATAACCTGAGTAAAACTGCCTGAACCTGATGGGCAATTCTTCAGAAGGCCTATTTCATTGGAATGAACTTGGTGTGAACTTCAGGGTAGCCAGGGGAAGCTCCCCTAAAAACCTAATTTGTGAAATTTTGTGGGGTCTCTAAAATATTGAAAATATGCTATTTTTGCCTTCACTAATTCCCTTTAATAAAGATAAAGGTATGCATGCTATTCTATCATCACCATTATCATATCATAAACTTAACTCTTCTAATCAAGGATCAGAAAGAAAACTAACTTTCTTAGACCCATGCAGTGGCTGTGATTCATTTAAGATAAAGCACCAGGTGAAATAATGGAAAAGCTTTGTACAGCAAGTAGGACAGGTTGAGGGGATTGTGTGAAACATCGCTCCTGTCTGTACATGTTAATGGACCCCCTTCGGAAAATACACTCAATTTAGAAAATGACATCTTAGGTTGATTATTGGAAAAAAAAAATAAAGAAAAATAAAAACAAAAATAAAAAAACCCTAACAGATTGTACATAAGTAAGACAGTACAGGAATGTAACTTAGAAGTATTCATCAGAGGCATTAATATACAATGATATGTAAATCCAATTAGTACTGTACATTGTTGGTGTGTCTCACATATTACAGCCCCACAAACCTAAAAGTAAGTTAAAAGGAAGTTCCATTCTACCTCTGTGGTTTCCACACAGACTCAAGCTGCTTAACAAAAAGATAACCTTGAAATATCAGGAAAAGATCGACACCACAGCACAATGTCTTTGACAACAAGCAATGAAAGCAGATGTATTTATCTAACATCATCTTCCCATCTTAAGCCCACAAAGAATGGCATTGTGACAAACCATGTGAAAAAGAAACGAGACGAGGAAGGGAGATTCTGGTATATTGAAATTCTGTGTGTTTGCGAAAGGAGGAAGTTGCAAATGTCATAACTTAAAATAATTTCAATAGAAAACTTTTAAACTACAAGACATATGAAAGCACAAACACAAGACACATCAGGATTCACAAGGATTTACAAGATGTCAAAGTACAGACACAAAATGTAGTAGTCCTACAGTATTTTGATCAGTTGACTTCAAGAAATACACAAATACACAGGGGTTAAGAACCGAGAGTAAGTACATAATACAATATATTCTGAGATCTATGTATGGCAACACAATTCAGTGGATGCACCACAGCTTAAAATACATGGTAGTTGGTATAAAAAAAAAAAAAACATCACCCAGTCTTTTGACTTTATATTTAATAATATTTAGTGGTTGCCACTTAGCATCTAGCATTAACATTTACCTCCTGTGGCATGATTTCTCTTCAAAAGTAAAATATCACATTGACTGCACCCATCCTCTGAATTCTCAATACAACATGTTTCTATATGCAGGCTGAGGTATGAAGGTACAGACCCAACCTGTAGTCCAGTCATTATCTTCACTAAACTTCCTGAAAACTACTCATTATTTCCAGAATCAGACAATCTGGTGTTGTCCCCCTGTGACTGGTTTTGATGGATTTAACTGATCAAAGATCTCCGGCAGACAGGTGAAGGGATACAGAGGTCAGGGTACTGGTTTGGTTACTCGTTGGCAGTGACAGAGATGGGGTTGTCATAGGCTGCTCCCTCCAGGTCCTCTACCCGTTTCCTGCGCATCTCTGGAGGAGGTCTTGGTGGGGGATTCTGAGGAGGATTCTTGATGCTCTCTCCAACTGGTGTTCGGGTCTCCTTTCTTGGAAGAATGGGCTCCCAGTGTTCACCTCGGATAGCAGCCTAGAAAGAAGACGACAAGGAATACAAGTCAGTAATGGTTGGGTTGTGTAAGATCAAGTTAAGCATGCTTGAGATCTTTAGCTCAAATTGCAACAATAATGGGAAGATCAGTAGCAGAGGTCCTTATTCTGTACACTTGCAGTTGTATGCATAATTAGATAAAAGGTGCATCCTGGAAAGCTTTCTATCTTTGGGCACCGCATCTATGGTGCTATTGAAGAACTCAGGCACACCCCAGACTGGTCAGATTTCATAACTACAGGGCCATGTCTTAACAGATGTATCCGTCATGAAACCTCTCTTTGTTAGCATTTCCTTGTTTCCGCCAACTGGCCACTTCCTGCCTCATCTAGGAACTTAAACTGATTCAACCCGCTATACTGTATGAATGTGGTAAAAGCTACCAACTTACCACAAGGTAGATGAGGCTGGCAATGCCGAGGCAGACACATCCGAGGACAGTAGCGAGCATAAAACCTCCAGGTACACAAAGTCTAAGAAAGGCAGAAAGGGATTTTGAAGTGGAGAGACTATAATGACAAGTCTTTTGTTTGAGAGACTGATTGGGAATGACAGGAATGCTGTCCAGCCATGGAAAGATTTAGTGAACTCACGCAGCATGTAGAAATGCTCTGACATAGTAGTTCCTAGTCAATGGGCCAAAGGATTTGACACACACAGTGAAGCAGTACTGGCCCCTGAGGGAAAGAAAGTTATATGAGTGAGCAATAAACTTCACTAGCGATCACAGAACTTGTCCAATAAAACAATTAATAATATATGAAAATGACCTCACTTACGTTCTTTCCATACTAGTGCCCTTGGACCTCTTGCTTCTGGGGTACTCAAGTAGACACACAAACACCCCAGCAGCGCTAGTTATCTGTCAAGGCTGTTTCATCTTACAAAGTTCACTAAGTCATATAATAACTATGGTACAAAGAATATGTAAGAATATGCAGAACGTGGTAAGAATGCCAGATGAAAAACTATCATGATTCATATATCTAAATGGAAGTGAACACTCCAAAAGATTGATTATATATGAATAAACGCTTAATACGGTACAAAATAAAGCCTTATAATAGCATTGTGCTCAGCCTACTGTGTAATGTACCAAATGTGTTACGGCTAAAGACAGTCTTTCAGCTTCTATCAACCTCATGTACACAGAGCAACTAAACTGGGTGTAAACACTTATGTTCTGTGCCACTGTAAAAATAAATAAATACTGCTTTAATTTACTCAAACTCCGCTACTTTTTAGTCACCTAAATCACATCAGAGCTTTTAGGCTTGTGATTTGTGCACAGACATCAGTTTTGCTAAAGACAATTCACATTCATGACAGTAGATCTTTGAAGAGGGCCACTGGGAACTGGATGTTGAACATTTTCAAAAAAGAGACAACTTGAGTGTTACTTCTTTAGATTTTGTATAAAGGATACACTGCATAAGCAGCAAACTGCCAGCCTCTGAACTGTCCAGCAACCCCCACAATGCCTCCAGTGAGGAGAACTGAAACAAGGAAACAGGAAGATAAAATTTAAGCTTTTAACAAACAATACACCTTTTATGACCACACTCAGAGGCAAGCCCGTGGCGATTGGGGCATGGAATTGACTGAAATGCAGTTTAATTTCTAATTAAGGCAGGCCGGAATTATTTTTAAAAGGATTTAATATTATGTTGTAATAAAATCAATAAGTATTTCACTTTTTTTAAAAACTACTTTAGCCTACTTAATTTACTCAATCGGCACGCTGGTTCACGCAGCAAAAAAAAAAACACAATTTCCTGTGAAAATATTTTATTTGAATTAAACTGCTCATGTAAATTAATCAGACACTCATCTCTGTGAAACTCAGAAAATAGCCAGCATTTTTTCCTCACAAAAAGTGTTTATACTCACTGAGTCCCGACGCCAGAGCCTGCTCATTGGCCCACATTGCCCACTCTATTTTCCCCATTGCGTTCACCTAAACTGTCCGTCTGCAAACGGCCGTGACTCTCCAGAGAGCGACTCACAACTTTTGGCTGTTTCTACAAGGAAGCGTGTGTATACAGCTTACGGGATGTGAGGTGTGTAGCAGATGTGTTAGTTTTAGGGGCAGGGCTTATTCGTCGTCATTTCCGAACAGTGCAGGACTGCAACGCGAGGGGAGGGGCTAACAAATCACACCCACCAGGTAAGAGTAGGCCTAATGATCAAACATCCAGGTGGAGTTCATGAATTTCATATACAGATCTTGATCAACTCTGTCTTCATGAGGTTATTTCGTTTATAAACAAACCACTTGAAAGACGTCTGATTCATATCCATAAAGCAGCGTTTCCAAACCGCTTCTGGAGTAGACTACCTTCTTGTCTTGCATATTTTAGAGCTGTCCCTGCTCCAACAAAGCTGATTAAAATAATTAGCTTGTTCTCAAGCAGCTTCAGGAGTTCATACAGAGTCGATCATTTCAATCAATCAATTTAGAGATCTAAATCATGCAGGACAAGGGAGAGGTTTGGGGAATGGTGCCACATAGAAATTAGCCTTTTTATGTCTTCAGAGTCAACTCAAACCTAATTATTTTTGTTTCCTTCCTTTGGACGTGACCCTGACAAAAAAAGTACTAAATCAAAGTTGAATCTGGAAATGGCAATAAGCAAAAGAAACAATTATATTGACTAAAATATATTTTATTTATTGTTAGAGACATTGACATAACTCCAATATGTACTGTAGGGCTGAAACTGTGTTTTCACAAGATGAAAATAAAAACAATTAAAGTCCTGTTAGTCATTTACCTCTGAAACAGTATCTATATGGAGATACTGAGAAATCAAGAGCGCTATACAGGATCATACAGGAATAATGAGTGAAAAAGAGATGGGGAGAAACACACCACTACAGTTTGATAATTAAAGAAGACATTTTAGCGTCCACAATGTTAAGGGAGGTGACTGGTGTTGCTGTGATTTGTAAAAACCTAGTTACATAATGATTAATGATGATTCATCTCTCCTGAATTGGCTTCATTATTGCTCAGAGGAACTTTGTCCAATTAGGGCTGCGTGGCATCACTCAGTTTTCTTCGGCAACCCATTAGATCCAAGTAGATGCTGAGTGGGATCCTCCACAACACAAGGGCCTGGTCCAGCCTTGAACACAAAACAAGAAAATATCTTTTGTCATCATGTCACTGACTCATCCTCTGCAAGTGTGTCTGAGTGTTAACATCTAGAAATGCATCTAATTTAAAACCATGTTCTAATTAAATCAAACCTAAATAAAGACTGCTATTTAATAAAGAGTGCAGTTTAATACAACATTTAAGGGCCAAGACGCTGAACGTAACATCATTAAAGCAGAGGAACTACTGCATATGACGAATGGTGCCACAATTTTCAACTGAAGAAGTGCAACACAAAGTTATGTAAAAGGAAATGTGGACACAAATCTAAACTTGTCTTGCAATCTGACAACTGACATCATCATTCTTCTGTACTGTTTATTGTTCAGCCTTGTGTGTGTACCTTGGTACTAATAATGTAGCTTATTCCCTTTGGCATGGGCTCTAGACCAATAGCCTGTTTCAGCTCCTCAGTTAGAGCAGCAGAGTTGACTGGAAGGCCCTTAATAAACCTGCAGAGAAGGAAAGAAACATTCATAGACTCATTTCAAATAGGCAAACTCTGTAAAACAGCTTACTTGGAACCCCCAAAAAACCCACCCACCTATCATTGTGTATATAAATGATATTTTTAGATGAATTACTTAGTCTGTATGTGAGTAATATTTTGCAGAGGGCTATGCCCTGAAGCTAATTACGTCTGGTAACTGTCAACTCACTGTCCTCCGTTGGTCTCTGGGGGGAAGAAATGTTGAACCACCTGAACAAACTCAGGAACATGCTGCTGTAGAGTGAAGATCACAGCGTTGGGTCCTGCATCAAATGTGTAGGCCAACTGAAGGGAAACAAACAGACTGTGACTAGTCATTCAAAGAGGGAGAGTTTTTCTGTTCCCCAGTTTGAAAGGTTTCACATCTTCATTACACCATCTCAGAAATTCAGCTGCATGAGCTGAGGCAAATGTCTGACAGTAGACTGACTGCAGTGATGCAAAAGTAAAGTGACTAAAAATATACATGGAGTACATTTATAATTAGAAGACTGCCAGAGACAAATTATCTGAAGAACTTTTAAAGTAAATTTGTAGTTTACATGTTTTAGCTTGATTAACTGCACATCAAACATTCCACATAACTGATGTGACCATTTCTCAACACATTTCACAATTATTTTACTTTCTTTTATTGTCAGAGTTGTGTTATTGTTGAGTGACAGTAATAATGCAGTACTCACTGGGTTAACACACTACACCAACAGCACTTATACATAGAAAGCATTCTGCTCTTTCGCTGAAAAGAGGCGTAAAGTTGCTCACCCTTGTCTCCCCGTAGTGTGAATTATACCGATGCACCAAATTGATAACCTGTTGAGACACACTGTTGAGGTAGAAGATGGGAGGGTACGTATCAAGGCAGGTGGCATGGAACTGGTTACTGTCCTTCATGGTTAGTTCAGCAAATGCAGCAAAGTCCTTTCTCCGCACCGCTTCAATCATCTTTACCATCCGGCCTGGGGCGACAGACGCAGCTCGGTGCTACACACACACACACACACACACACACACACACACACACACAGTAACAATACATTTTTAATGTCTAAATGAACATAATCTTCACATTTAACAGTACTGACAGTAATGTACACTGAATAATGTGAGTTTGAGACTGAACAGAATCAGAATCATTGTTACTGCAAAATAGGTTTGCATACAAAGAATTAGCTTTGGTATTTTGGTGCACAACAATAGCCATAATTGGTAAAAACATTAGAAAGATAAAGCCCTTCAGATCAAATATTATACTTGTAAAATACAAAACCGACAAAAAATATATTCAAATGTAAAATAATAATAAAGAATATGTACATTACCTTTAAAAGACAGCTTGTTTGTACACTGGTTTGCATACCAGAGGTGCTGCCCACTGGCTTCCTCTCTGCACTGGCCTGTGACAAAGTGCATTAATTATGCCTGATATAACTTTTACTGTTTTCAATCAAAGGGTGCATTTTGTGCTCTAGTCCAGGCACTGGCTCCACATCTTACACAACAGATTTGTCATTTATAAAAGTAAGAAATCAAGTATGTGACTTTCACCATAGAGCACAAATGCCACAATGACACAGATGTCTTATTTTGTCACTTTCAGTCTCAAATGCACACAAACTGACCTACCACTAGTACAAGGATTCTGAGCTCAGGCCAATGGGTCTCTGGCTCCACCTGCTGGGCTACACTGTCCTTGCCGTCATCTTTCTTTCCCATGATCCACTGGACAAATCCTCCATACATACTCCGGCAAGCGCTACCTGAGCCTTGTCGAGCAATCTCAGACAACTCCCCCTCTACGCCAAACACCCGGGCCAGGGTGTAAACTGCAACACAGGGATGAAAAAGTAAGGACGAAAAAGAGGAAAGTAGGTTAAAAGAAGATATATCAAATAGGAGATGGACACTGCATACTGGAGAATGGGCACACGCAGGCAACATAAAATAGTTTGAACCTTTCTTATTCTATGCTGTTGAGCTATCAAAATAAAAAATACAAAATCAGTGTAATTTCGGTCATGTATTGAAATAGAGCTTACAAACACACTCTCACCTAGACAAGCGAATCCAGCAGCTGAGGAGGCAAGCCCGGCAGCAGTGGGGAAGTTGTTAACAGAGCAGATGTGGACTTTGTGAGACAAACCAGTTGAATCCAAACTGGGTTCCCCATCCTTACGTCTCTTCCTTGCTAATCGGCGAACTACATACAGAAACAGAAAAATGAGCGTGGCCTGCACTCTCTCTAACTCCCAGTTTTTGTCCTCTATCTTTTAATAGTAAAAAAAAACAGGGCCAGGACTCACTTTCTCTAAGACAGGACTGTAGTCTTGGATGGGTTATGTCCTCCTCTTTACCATTGAGCCATATTCGGTCTTCCTGAAATGATCTGCTGGTTGCAACTGTTGTTGTTGTTTTAAGCTTGACAGGAAGAGGAAGACAAAACAGATCTAGATCAAATTGTACTTGTCACTTATACAACACCAGATCTTAAAAATTTAGCCTCAAGATAGCTGCAAATCATATATGAAACCATTTATGTTATCCATCATCCCGGCACAATTCAACGCAAGGGCAATATTTTCTATAATTGGAATCAAATAAATATTTTTCAGCAACCACAAAACAAATGCTGACACCATATTCTAATGCAGTGGCTATTTTGCTAACCTAAATCTGTATTGTCAATGATTGATTGAACGATTATTTTTTGCTAATGGGGGGGTACATGACAGAAGGAGTTTGATAATGCCATTTCTGCTACAAATCTTGTACATAGTTTTGCCAGTTCAGCATGCATTAAGCAGCACAAGTGAATAAATATTTCAAAACTGACCATCCAAACTGAAATTAGCCTACCAGCAATGTTGGGCAGTAAGGCGTTACTACTAACTAGTTACTGTAATAATATTTATTTTCCCAGTAACTAAGTAGTGTAACTAATTACTTTTCTAGAACGGTAATATTATTACTAGTTACTAAGGCAAGTAACGCTGCGTTACTCGTTACTGAACACATCATCTTTGTAAATCCACGACTGTGCGACAGCTCAGCGGCACCGGACTTTGTTGTTAATGTCCGCTGATAGCCAAACACTAAAGGAAGCATGGAGAGCGAGGGGGAGAGGCGTTCTTTCCACCGCTGTAAGTAGCTGCTACCATTATTGTGTCACAGTCTAAGATGCAAAGAACATTGTCGTCTATAGTAAACTCTGTGCGAGCAGCAAAAAGCTTTCAACCACGAACATTTCTACATCTGATTTATTGAAGCATCTGCAGAAGCAGCACAGCAACGTGAAACTTATAGAAAGAAACTCAGGCAGCTACTGCCAGTGATGTTCTGACTCGTCGGGAGAGAGTGGCGTTAATGTAACGTTTTGTAACTACTGAATACTGTGCATAAAAACCGCTGTTTAAAAGTCGGGATTTACATACGTAGAAACGTTAGGCCTAGGCTATATGCTCTGTAAATACCACACTCCTTGCTGCTGTTATGGATATGATCTTAGTTAAAAGGTCGGGGGACACTGCTTTGTTTGGGGGTGAAGGGGGGTGGTAGTGAAAACCCAGAATTAGCCAATACTGTGGGCAATTATCAACGCTGACCGCCACATACTGATTTTCCAAATTTTTACCAGGCATATTTAAAATAATTTTTTAGCTGTATTGAGGAGCATATATTCGTGCAGCACCTCCTGGCTCGGCTCGCTCCCTCTTTCTCTCTCTCTCTCTCTCGTGAACACCGCTGCACCCCCCCACTGTCATTCTGTGGGAAACACTGGAAGTAATATAGTAATCTTACTAGTAACGTGAGTAGTTACTTTTATCACCCAGTAATAAGTAATAATATTACTTTTTTAAGGAGTAATAAGTAACTAGTAATATATTACAATTTCTGAGTAACTTGCCCAACATTGCCTACGAGTAAACACAAGCATGCGCTGACAAGCATTAGGACGTACTCACACCAGGCCCGGTTGACTTGTACCTAACCCACATTGCGCCTAACCATTCGAGCCGGATGTTAAGTCGGTGATTCCCACACACTTGTTTGTGGCGGCCCGCCACATATTATGTGCGCATATTAAGGTAAGCCTATTCGTGCAGCACCTTGTCTGTCTCTGTCTCATGAACACTGCTGCACAAATCTGTCCAACACAACTGTCAATGTCGGAGAGCGACCTTTAAAAAAGTTATTAGCAAACATGTAAGAAGCCTAGCTAATAAGGAGAGCTATTTTAACGTTAGTTCACTGCTGGGTTGTCGAGATAATCACGCTGTACATCGCTGGAAGTCAATACCGACTGTCATTCTGTGGGAAACGCTGCACTTAATTGGGAAAAAAGTGCTCTCTCTCTCTCTCACGGCACAGTGGAGTTTGTGTCGGGGTTCGGTGCTCGGGCACCGTTAGCGATCACGCTACAGGCGTATCGTGCAGGAGCGATCACGCTGGTCAAACGAACAGGACTTTGGGGTTTAAACGTGCTCGGGCACGGTACGGATCGCCTAGTGTGAGTAACAGTTACACCCTTTGCCTCTTTTACACTTTTATTTATGAAGTTTTTAATGTGATGGCAGGAAAACGTTGGCTCACTGGAGCAGCTCGGGGCAGGAACAACAACACTTGAGAAAGCTGACTGTTTTCCATGTTAACTCTTACCTGGTCTTGATGCAAAGTAACGCTCAGAGATGAGTTAATGGGTAGAATTAATTCTTCATTTCTCTTGCCCCCTGAAAAGTAAGTTTTAAAAACAGAGTAACTGAGGTGACACTATTATCAGAATAATAACAATGAAACAATCTGCATATGCTCGACACTAAGTATTCAGTGAAGCATGAATCTATTCACCATACAAGAAACACATTTTTTGTATTGTAGATTAGATAAAATATAGTTTACTGGAGACTAAACATAACTTAAGTCGATACTTACAGTATTTGATGACAGCTATGTTCACCGGAGCAGTACATGTAACTATGTTGGGCTTGTCCATACTATCCTCAGGCATAGCTGTATATGTTAACCGATGATTGCATTGATAAAACTGTGCCTTAATATCCTGAAACACACTGTACGAGGCTCCTCCCGTGTTTAGCAGGTAACGTTTAAGCTAACTATAGTCAACCTTCCAACTCAACCGTACTTTACCTCGAGGTCTCTCTCGATTGGCTGGTGTTGAGCATGTGGCAAACCCCGCCACCAATCAGAGCCGCGCAGTTTTCACGAAGCAGCCGGAGTAGCCAATGACAGATCATCTGACCACAGTCGTGCGAAAATGGTGTAAGAACAGAGACCCTCCCACAGCAGGACTTGAGCTCTGCGTACCTCTCTGTTTGTTGGGGTAGCGTTGATTCAAATCTATACAGAATTTGTATACTAATCTAACTGTATATCTAAAGCTGTATTAAGGTAAGTACAAGTGGAAAAAAAATAGTGTGATAGTGTTGAAAAGTACTGTACTTATGTACAAATTTGAGGTACTGAATATTTCCATTCTTTCCAAATCCCACTAAGTTACACGCCAGAGGCAAATCGTACTTATGGCTCCAATACATTTATTTAACAGTTATACTTGTTATTCACAACATATTTGATGACACAGTATAAAGCAGTTAAAAGTAGCATGACCAATTAAAACATTAAAGTGCTGCTTCTATGAGAAAACTGTTGTGATTTGGCGCTATATAAGAAAAACTGAATTGAATAATGCATTAATATAAATATTCTAATTTAGTTTAACAATGACAGTAGCCATTCTGCCTGCATAATGAGCCTACTTTAGATACTTAAAAGTACATGTTGTGGATAGTACTTGGGTACCTTTACTGTTTAAATTCAGGACTTTGACATTGAGCATTTTTACACCTGTATGGTTAGTTTTATTTAAATGAAGGATCTGAAAACTCCTTCCACCAATGGTGATAAGCAAACCCTTTAGCCATCTACAGTAGTAACTCTTTCTTGTAGAATTAGATGTTTATCCTCTTCCACCTGGCAACACAGGAAAACAAAAGTGCAACTCAATGATAAAGTGTAGACCTTAGTATCACTAAGCTGTAGTGTTTGTAAAAACGAATGCCTGACTGTAAAGCCCTGCTAACTGCAGGGCTAACAGTTATAAAAGTGTTTCCATTGGTTATTCGACTGTGGCTCAATACTATATGTTGACTGTGGAAAG